TTTTTTTTTTTTTGTCGATGAGATAAGCCACAGAAATCTTATTTGTTGAAACGAAACAAATATGTATATGTATATTATACACACGTCGAAATCACGATACGTCGCAACGCCCGTTTTCGATCGTGTTGAGTTTACTCTCGAAAGATCAGACGTGTCTCTCTTTGTAAACTACAACCGGAGTCGATCTCCTCGATGTCGCGCAATATAAGTTCGCGGTGATTTCCTCGATGCCGCGAGGAACGCGCGCGCCTGCCTCTCGATATAACTCTGCAAAACTTCCCACACAAGACACACACACACACACACACACATACACAAACGTTAACCGGAGCACGTTACCGGAACCGAGCGTACCTGACAAAGCGAGGGAGTCGTCGTCACCGCCGATCTGAGCGAACCAGTGCATCGTTTGCTCTGCGGAAGACAAATTCGAAGATATACACATTCTCCACAAGTTTTATTGCGGAGATGTGAGACTCTCCGTTGATAAGCATCGTCGTTGTGTATCGGAGCGAGAGACGGATAGAAAGAGAGAGAGAGAGAGACGCGGGCTTGTACAAGCAAAGGAGAGAAGAAATATCAAAGTGCATCGTTGCGCACAAGATTACACCGTTGGGTTTCCAGTCGATATTGTTTATCTAAAGACGACGTTATCTCGCACGCTCGTTGTTCCGATACAAATGGTTCGGATTCTCGACACGCATTACTCAGCTCAACACGAACATTTATCTTCGCGAAGAATTATTTGATGTGTCGTATCTCTGAAAAGAGTGACGTGTAATCACATCGCCGGTTTAGAATTACGTTGGTTTTACACATGATCTCTCTCTCTCTCTCTGTCTCACTCGTATTCTTCTTTATCGTCCAAGTGCGCATCGGTCACGTTATCAAGCAACGTTGGTCTTCTTTTCCAATTTGAGCGTGTTGCGAGCGATCGAATTTAATTATCCATCACGTTCCATACGCGTTCTCTAATTTTAGATAATTATAATATATATACATATATATAAAAGTCTCTCTGCGACAAAGTTGCTCTCATTAATAAATTTCCACATTCGAAATTCGTCACATTTTCGTCGCTCCTCCTCCCCCCCATCCCGAAAAAGGGCGACCAACTCGATCGATCGGCAATTCGTTATCCGTCCCGCAACCGCTGACGAGGAATCGCTCGTCTATGGCATTAGTATTTTCATTAATCCGATAGAGGAGGGGCTCCTCCTCTTTCTCTCATTGCGATCGTTAATTGCAACGCGGCTCTCGCTTATTTTGGTCTTTCAAATGCGACGAGTTTCGCATTTTCGAACGCGCGTTAACGAAGATGCGCTCGCTGCCAATATTGTTTCCGGTCGCTGATTGCAAATGTCGGACAGAAAAAAAGAGTCGCGGGGACGAGACTATAGTGTTGATAATTGGACGTGTCATTAGTAATGCGGAATCAAATCAGAACGAGAGAGAGAGAGAGAGAAAGAGAGAAGAAGCAAACGCATAAAAGCAAATATGGTATGAAAGGACGTTTCGACGTTGCGAGAATATCGAATAAGTCTATCAAATTATGTCGTAAACACACAGTAGAGTTACTCGACAACCTAAATCGGTGCGTTAAAGTTTTCAACACGTACGTAATCGAAGAGTCGTTCTGCTTCGATTGAAAATATTGAAAGTTATTCAATTCTCCAGTTGCGCGAGATGTGATTCAGAAAACGAATTCGATTCGAGAATAGCCGGAAAAATTCGCTGTTCGAGCGCGAAAAGTTCTCAAAAGAATCAAATTTCTTGAAGAAACGTGTAAAGAATCGACGCGCTTCGGTGTATGTTTGAAGATTAATAAATTAATCACAGCCATAGCGATGTGTTTTTTTTTTTTCACGCACCAGTATATATTACGCTTTTGTCGAAAGTACTTTTTCAGAGATTACGTCGAAGAAAAGCGGAGAGTGTCATAATTCGTCAAATACCTTCCGCATCCTTGGAATAAACAAACACGGAGAGAATACGTTGTACGTCAATTTTTGCCGCAATACAATCACATTTTCGCAGACAAAAGAGGAAAGCTCGTTAGAAAAAGCGCGCGGGATTATTTTCTCTTCCACTCTGTGATCTCTCGAAAAAAAATTTTTCTCCCGCAGGAGTGCAAGGAACTTCCGCAAGAAACAAGTTGAGACGAAGATAATGACACATCGTCGTTTCGCCGATACATCATCTCCAGGAGACGTTGCAGTCGCGCAAACTGCATCGGCCTGGCAGGTATATACATATATATATATATATTGCATGCAGCCTTCACAGCAGTTAATCTCCCGTCGTTCGGAAACGCATCAACACACACAATGCCGATCCCTATTCATCTCTCTCTCTCTCTCTCTCTCTCTCTGAAAGCTGTCCTTCGCACACGATATCGCTTTTGACGAATGAGACGCGGAATAAAAAAATCAATGCGTTATAAACGCAAGAGGAGAAAAATAATAATTTTTGTTGAACAAAACAAATCAAAACAGAAAACGTACGGCGAAACATATCGGCAAAGCTCCGGCGCTAATTACATGCTAATGCAGTCCGGTTTCTAGATTAGAAAAACGCGAATCGACCACGAAAAATTGCAAGCGCTATGACGAACATATTCCGCAGAATTGAAATGTATTTTTTTTTGTGTTTTTATTTTTTTTTTATATATATATCGAAGGTTGTTTAAACACGCGAGTAATTTGCGCTTTTTTTAGCTCCCATCGTCCTTGCGGTAATTTATTCTATTTTAATTTGTTTAATGTTTCACAGAATGTTTGCCGGATTCGTTCGTTAAAAAACGTCTCTCTGTGTAAAAAAAAAATTTCCCCACCGCAATTAGCAACTATTTGCTCCGTAATTTTACGCTCGTATTTTTATTTACGGATATTACGAATAAAATTTTGTATATCTTCGCGGATGTTTTCACAACGGCGGATGTTTTCGCAATTTTGAGGGAAAAGAGAGGATCGATATGTAAGAGTCGCTACACGTTACAATGAGACAATGAGGTGAACCGAGACCATTTTCGGATACGGAGCGATGCGTTTGTTCGAATATATCGGCGCATCTATCGTGCGGCTGCAGACGCGCCGTCGTCTTGGAGGCTCAAACGCTGGAAAATCCGTCGGTATACATACGCCTTTGTGTTAATCTCCCTTCGTCTGGAAGTGGGTCGGGAAACAATGGATCCCGTCGCTTCCATCCCTTGCCGCCGCCGCGGCGAAGGTTGTCCTTCCAACCTCGTCTCCGTCTCTCTCTTTCTCTCTCTCTCTCCCTCTTTTCACATCCACCTTTTCCTCTCGAATTCTCCATTCATCCGTCCGGCTATTCTATCTCATCCACCTTGCTCGACTGGCGATGTAGAATGCGAACAGATACGCGCGTTGGTTTCGGAGCTTAAGGCGAGCGCGCGCGGGTGATCTGTGACGACGCGCGCAAAATGGCTCAAATAACAAGGTTCTCAATCTCGATAATCGTGTCTTTCGCGCTCGCTCAGGTGATGATTATCACGTAGAACGGCGCGTCAGGATGTGTGTTCGTTCGCGAATAATACGAACGGAGAGAAGAAACGATCGTCACGGAAACGAAACAACAGTTATTATTTATATTTTCGTCTTCTTCTATATATCGGGAAAGATAATCGCGCGTACTTTCGTACTTTCGCAAACTCCGGGAAGTAACACAGCAAAACTCGGGAAATTGCAAATAACACACACGCTTTATTCCAGAAATAATACGGAACTCGGCGAGAAAATCAAAGGTTTACGCGCGCCGCACGTCGGTTTCACTCGAACAGTTTCCGAATCCCAATTCTCCAAGTCTCGAAAATCGAACATCACAAATAACACGTTGTCGAGGAGACAAAACTCTGTCTTTCTCTCCTCGCGCACGACTTTTGAATCTCATCATCCAACGATATTACAAACGTATCCGCGCAAGCAAATGTTCAAGACGCGGTTGTTCAACGCGCAAACGCAAAAATTTCCGCCCGCGATTTTTGACACATTGCCGTAATCGCTCGTCTCGTTTTTTTTTGTCCGAACAACAAATGAACAAACTTAATTAACAGTTTTATGAGCGCGAGCGCGCGTTTTCGCTTTTTGACGCTCGAATGAACTTCGGCGATTCTCTTCTCGCACAAACGCGACGACGGCGGAAATTGCAACGTTTATTAAATCCACTTGGCCGTTTCGAACCGAGAGAATTGCATTCGTTATCTATCGCGCAGTCCGGAAACCGTGCTTTCGATTCGTCGCTCGATTCCGATAACGTTCTTTATTCCGCCACGGAAGGCAGTTACGCGAGAGATTAATATCGTTATCGTCCGCGGGATATCGATGACACACAGAACGATTTCTCTCTCGAAAAATGTCTCCCGATGAAAGTTTTGCGCGCGAGGATTCTGATTTTCTTATTTGAGAGACGCTCTCCGCGCGAGAGAATTGCTTCTTCTTGCGCATTATTCACAAAAGAAGTTTCAATCGCTTCCCGTGCGAATGAACACAATGGGAAGGAATTACTTTGTTTTTTTTTTCTTTCCTTTCACAAATATTTGTAACATGAAACAGAGCATTTACGTCGACATAAACGAACGTAAAAGTTTGATAATTGCCGCGTTTGCGATAACATGTGGTAAAGCTAATTTAAAACAATTAGCATCATTAGTGCCGACGTTTCAATCAAATAATAATAATACAATAATAATTAAATTAAATCAAATTTATGATAATAATAGTATCTAAAATAACAAATGAGCGATCGTTATTTGCAAATAAAATTGCAAGAACACAGGTACAATAAATATTTAAATATATCTCTCAAATAAAAAAAATAAAAAAAATAAAAAAAAACAGGCCTACATGTCTGGGTCGCTATTTGTGTCGCAAATAAATGTTCGGTCTGTGCTCCACATATCACGAAAATCTCGGTAGGCATCATCGGGGACGCGATATTAAAAACTGCATCGCATCCAAATCCGCCGTGTAAATGCAAGAAAAAAAAAAAAAAAAAAAA